TTTTTTTTTTTTGCGATACATTACTACCTTTTTCGACCACATAGACGAAAATAAATAACAAATAATAAATGCACACAACACTTATGACTGGTTTTTTCTTTGTTGTCGTTAATTGGTTCTATTGCTGTTGTATTTTGACTAGAGTAGATGCTAATTAAAGTGTACTCTTGTCATCGTTAAGAATTTTACTGCCAAGCCTAAGAGAGAACGAGTTTTTTGTTTTAAGCTTAACAGAAATTAAATCTTCTTTATGGTTTCACGCTCGCTTTACTGAATACTTTGAAATGATGTTGTAGGGGATGGTGCTGGGAAAAGATAGAGTACGGAATTAGAAGGCAACTTCTCCACCTAATTTTCATTTTCTTTTCCGTATACAATATGCTCTTGTCGTATAGTTTTTCGACTTCTGGTCGACGCTAGTTTCTTCTTGTGGAGGGACCTGGGAATAACAGGAGAGGAGAAGTATTTTTGTCATCTGATATAACTTTTTTCAAAATTTAAATTAAATGTCGATTTTAGCTGTCATTTTTTTCTCCCGTAGGTCGCTACAAAAAATTTTTTTCGTTAAGTAAAGCGAGTTCATTGCACTGTCAAAAAAGTTGAAATATCACTTTTTTCATAAACCATTTGATGCAAACTTTAAATTTACAGGAGCACTCGTAACACTGCATTAGATTTTATTTTGCGAATGGAAAGTTATTAGTAGTTTGGTAAGTTAATTTTTGCAAATATTTTTTTACTGCTCATCCAAATCGAAGTCCGGAATTGACATGTTTTCTGAAATTGAAAAGCAGTTTAATCAGGAAAACAAACCTTGAATGCGGCCAGAAATGCCTTTCTTTTTTGCTTTTCCGGTTTTTTCTTGGTTGTTGTGGGGTGTTTTTCATGTTTATTGAAAGCCGTGATAACTGTTTTGAGGAAGCTTTTTGTTCTTGGATGGTTCGTAAACCTCGCGTAACATCATCTAGACTGTATTAAGCTTTTACAGATAAAATGACTATGTGCTTTCTAGTTACGGCCAGTGGAAATGCCAACCGTCAGACAAGAAACATATACTACAGCTCAACCAGATGGAACCTTAGTTACTACAATAACCAAAACTAAAACTCGTTACGTAAATGATGGTAGCAGTTTCAGAATCGGGCGAGGCCCTGTAACTAAGGGTTATATTCGAAAACCATCCACCATTGTTAGGGCCGCTGAAGTGGTTCGTGTTCTTTTGCTGATACCAAATTCTACACTGGTCATGCTAGTGTTATGACTTTTACCCGACTATCAGCCTATTGTTCATTTTTTATTTTCCGATACCATTTTGTATCGTCGAAACGTCTGAAGAAGAATTATATTCTAACTTCTAAAGTTTATAGTAAAAGGTATTAAAGGAAACGGATTCAGGTTTTGGGTTTAATCATCATTGCACTGGTGGTTGCTGTCTATGGACCTGGACCATTCAAAGGAATTTTGTTTGGGCAGACATTTCTGCTGATATTTGCTGGTCTTGGAGTCTGTTTCTCGTTTATATTTTTAGTCGTTTATTTCTTCAAACTTCATGAAACACATTTGACGTTTTGGCCATGGCAAATTTCGGTATATTAATCAGCGTTTCATTAATCAATAAAATTTTATGTTATATTAAGCGCTTGTTTCAATTTGTCAAGACTTTTTTGATAATAATTTTGGTTACAAATTGCTTTTTTTTCTTATTAAAAAGAGAAAAATTATTTATTTAAGGTACTACGATTTCTACTTGTTTTATAGTTTTTATTTAATGTTTTGCCGTTAGTGTTTTAAATATAATCAATTCTAATTTAAGGATTTTACTTTCTCATGCGCGGCGTGTGTAGTGTTTTTACTAATGACCTTCCTGGAAGCTTATTATGCTACTGGGGCTTGGGCCAACAACTGTAGTGATATAGGCAGTGATGGGATCTTGCATAATGGCTGCAGAACGATTTATGAATGGGCGTTTGCTGCGGTAAGGCACAGTTTTGTTTAAGCTTCTCACTTTTAATTAGGAATTTGTTGTCTACCCAGGAAACTAAGTGTAATATAGAAGCGGGATGAAAAGGGCTGCTAGGTATCTCAGGCATCCAGTTTTCGGTTATAAAAACTGAAGCCAGGGGTGCTGAGCCAAAAAAAAAAGCGATTTGATAGTCCACACGATACTTCAGATACACCAGTACTCCTGTTGTTTTTTCAGTTCTTTTGCTTTGTAAACGCGATTCTGTATGGGATTAGTGCGGCTTTTGCTCACGACTGAATTGATATTGGATGTGTTCAATTAAAAACTGGTTAATTTTCCGAGCAAGCAGTCTTTATAAGCAGGGAGGAAGACAAACAGATCCTAGGAAATGTTCTTTGCCGACAATTGCCAGTTTAGATTACTGCAAGGTTCTGTATTTGTTTAAATATCAATATTTTATCTTTATTGCTGTTTTCATCTGCGGTTATACATCAAATGAAATTTAATTTTTTTAGAAAAAAAGCAGCGTCTTCTTTCGTTTTGGATTTTTTTAATTTTTATTTTGCTGTGGTCAAGTTGTAATTAAGCCATTTAAAAATTCGGAAAATTGTTCCAGACGAAAAAGAAAAGCAAATTGGATTGGTTTCCACTCCACCTCCTCATTTGGCAGTCTTTTTTGTAAACCTGTATTTTTTGTAATATTCATTGTTTATTTCAAGACTGCAAAATTTAACGTCTTTACTACCATTAGCCTGCCTTATTTCAGATTTAAATTGTATTATTGTGAAAAAATGTTTGCTATAGATTTTTAAATTTGTTTTCAGTGTTCCAGTTGTACAGTAATTATTAGAGCAAGTGTCTAAGAAATTTTGCTCTTCATACAATATTAATGAGATTCTCTGCCTTTTCACTTTCTTTTAACTCCAATTTTTGTTATTATTATTATGCTTGATGATTCAAGAAAGCCGGTTCCAAGAATGCTTTAAAAATTTTTTGATTGAGTTCAGGTTGACAACACTTTTGATTTCCTGATTTAGGTCTTAAATGGGAAAAAATTTGAGTAAAAAATTTGTTCGGGATTTTATTAGTCTCTTTTAAAAAATAGTTGGCAATGAATTGATGGGTTTTTTGGAAAGTTTTTTTTGATGCATCTCAGCTACTTCCGCCTTTATACCTCAAAATTTTTAGCTGCATGTTATTGTTTTATTTTTTAGCCAGAAAATTTTCAGAAATCGACGTGTAAAAATGTACAACAGTTGGATTAAGTGTAGATGTAGATCTAAAAAATAAAGGCTCCTTTTAAGTGGTAGCAACCTACCTCTTGTCATTCTTGACTACCAGATTAATACACGAAATGTTGAGTGCGTTTTGTGAAACAAAATCAGAAAACGACATATTTATGAATCTCTGAACGACACAAAAACTTTTTGCTTGTAAAATCCACTTTAATTAACCAGGTACTCAAAATCACTATAGGCTAGAGTTTAGAAAGAGTCTAAATTGTATGAGAGAATGGAGTTCTAATTACTGACAACTGCGTGCTCATTTAAGTTTATTTTGAAGCTTTTCTTACAAATTTGAGAACTCAAAAGGCATTCTCTCGGTTGCTGCTGAAGAATGGGTGCTACAAAAAATTTACATTCTCCACCGAACGAACTGTTCGTTTATTCGGTATTGTTTAGCTAAGCTCAGCACTGAAGAAAGAAATGTTTAATGGTGATCAAGTACAGTTTCAAAAATGATTAAAAAACCAAGTCTTCTGTATTGCTAAAGTCTCATGTTAAAAGTAAACATTGGTAATGTCTGCAAAAAGAAATAAATAAAATAAAATTAAAGAGTATAAAGAGAAATCAAATAAGGTGAAATAAGAATAAATAAACAGAAAGCTTCCAAATGTAGCGAAAAATATCGTTTTGGCTTGACTGCTGTTGAGCATTTTGAAAGAATGTTATAATGTCAACAAATCGGAGTTTTATTATAATTTTCCTACAAAAAGAAATAGTCTAATTTTAACAGAACGTAAAATGCGTGTACTCTTATTGCTTCTTTTCAACAAATTTACCATTGAGCAAATACGCTTATTTAACTGAAAGTCACATGTAGTCAGTTTCTGTCTTGCTGCTCTGTATCCACTCCAGTCAATTGCAAATCCTCTGCTTCCGTCCGACGTTCTTCTTCTTTCGTGTTCCGATCAGCTACTGTAGGAAAGAGAAGCTTTTGCTTCCTATATTTCTTAACGCAATTTGTTGCTGAAGGACAAAAAAGTTTATATTTTAAACAGCAAAGTTTTGTTGCCATTGTTGCAAGGAATCTATTAGAAGAACAAAAATCGAGAGGTAAATGTTCGTATACTTCTTGGGTATGCGTAAGTAAGTGTACGTATGAGTGTACGCACGGTTGTTATGGCCCCAGAGAAAAAAAATGATATTACAGCAAGTGTTTAGAACGAAAAGAAAGATGAAATAACAGAACGGAATTAACACTGCAGGGAGAAAAAATTAGAGAGATAAAAAAGGAATTTGTTTGCCCAATATAATTATTGCATTTTTTACGCTTCGCGCTATTTGTGTGAACACAAAAAAGCTGAAGGAATGAGAAGAATTTTTTGCCAAGCGCAATAATACACCACACACATATATATATAATACCAATACACAACATAAAATATATTCTTTCTGGACAGTTCGTGTGTAGCAGTTAAGTTCAGTGACAGCAAATTGAGCTAAACAATAGAGACAAATTACCGATCTATGTGAGTAGTTGTGTGAAACAGCAGTAAAAGAAAAAATTGAATAAATAAATAATTAAATAAATAGTATAAGCTCGCATGTTATACTTTTGTCCGAAATAATAAACATATCACTTGAAAATACAATTATAGAGGCATACCCGGCAGAAGACTTCCTATTAACTGCTACAAATTTTAGCGGCTCCCCACTCCCCAGTTGTATGGCCTTCCTCCACCCACCCTTTGAATGGTATTGAGCGAAAAAAAAAAGAAAAAATT